TCGATTTCTTAAAATCTTTGTTACTGTAATGGATTGCTGTCAATTTTTGTTAACTGATTGATTGTTAAAATCGATTTCTTATCCTGTTTGTCAATCTCTTTTTTATTTCACATCATTGTGAAAATTGATTGTGCTATTTTAGTTATATAGATATGAGTTTTACTGTTGGTGAATTGTCTTTTGCAAAAACATAAAAGGTGTGTGAAACCTCAACTTCTTTTTTGATATAAGTTTACTATTGAATTTAGAAAGATTGGTAACACAATTATGCTCTTGTTTATTGACATGAAAAGATGGAAGAAATAGCATGTAGAAGAATCTTGAACATGAAAAGGAAGTTGCTAAAGATTTCGTTTGATATTTGGGTTTCAATTGTTGAAGAAATATGAAAAATAAGTTTAATGGTATAGTAAATTAGATTTTTTTTACTATTTTAATAATTTATATAATATATATTTACATATAACATAGAAACAAAGCAAATTAAAGCATAACAGACAAAAGGTCAATTATGGCATTTTACATGAATTCCAATTCCATTTCCTACGAACCAAACAAAATCTGAAATTAATTCCAATTCCATTTCCTGCTAACGAACAACACATGGAATTGGATTCAAATTCCTGACAGATTCCTTTTCCAATTCCAATTCAAATTCCTTCAGCAACATTCGGCGAACCAAACAGCACAAAAGACATTTACACAAAAATGAAAAGGAAAACTCTTCCTTTTCAGAACTCGATGTTAAAGGAGCAATAGGAATCAAAAGTTAACAATTATTTATGCTCCATAATGCAGTTTTAAGGAATCTAAGACAAATGACTAACAATTATTTATTTTTCACAATGGTCGCTTAAGTGGGCAGTTTGCTAAGAGAAAAGAATATTTCTTTAATGTGTTGGGAATGTATAATATTTTGATGTTGATATCAATTACAATTGCTTCTATAAAAAGATTGAATAGATTAGTAGTTTTAATGTAAAAAAATATCCAAAATTCAGAAAAAAATAATACAACTTACCATCAGAAGATTCTACATCTAAGATTAGATCAAGTGCAAAATAAAAATAAGGAACTTGAATGCTTAACACACAGAGGTTGAAATCATCTTGAATGTAATCATCATCAACTTCCACAAACCCCTGAACAGGCTGTCAAGAATATCACAAAAAATTTCAATTTAAAATGAAAAGCATATCAAATTGGACAAACATAAACAATTTTTTTATCCTTTACCTGTAGTAAGCGCGGAAAAAAATATAGTAAAGGACAATCTGGTTCAAGCATTTCATCAAGCAGCTAGGATACATTGTGAAACTCAACTTAAAAATTCAATATCAACTGGGTAGGGCATAATTAAATTTCATGTGTAATTGGAGACCTGTTCTATTAAACTGTAATGGATTTGACCTCAGCTGTAAGGAAATTGAGTGACCTACTATCCATTAATCCAGTCACACACTTCAATTTTTCTTAGCAAGAGCAATCCTGCCAGTATTGGGGTTTCCAGGTCTTCAATGAGACATGAAAGGTAGATTAATGTTGGGAAACTGAAAAGGGTAGGCCACCTGATTTCGAATGAACAAAATATGAAGCTACCAAAAGAAGCAAGGAAAATTACCTTGTCGCAAGTAGCTTTGATGGAACCGTCACCGCCAAGAACGAAAACCCACCATGAAGTCTTCAGGCTCGGCACATAAGATTGTTGGTGGTAGTGAGGCGACGAAATTCCACCAAAAGGGGTCGTTAACAAAGAGGCAAGAAAAGGGAGTCGGGAATGGAAACAGGGAATCCGCCGGCGAAACCATCACACGGTGGACGTGAGAAAAGAGGTAGTTGGAGTCTGGATTGAAAATCCTCAATGGTGTGAGTGATGATTGGTTGAGAAGAGTGCGATGAAAAAATTAGAACGATCGGGAAGATATTAGATGAAGTAGTCGGTAGCCAAAGAAATGACACCATCCTAATCTAATTGGCTTACAACGTCGGTGAAGCAGTGGAGGGTGAAATGTATTCACCGGCCAAATGTATTCACCGGCCAAAACAGCTCAGAGAAAACTTGGAAAACCTCAAAAGTAAGGGGCGCTGGGGAGATAAAAAAAAATAGGGCGATGGATAATTGAAAGGGTGAAAAGGCGAGAAGAACCGAGAAGCATCAGAAGAAAAAATAAATTGGTCCAATAAGATTAATTCACTATTCCTAATGGAACACAAAATTATTGTATGTATATAATATTTTAACAATAACAAATAATAACTAGATAGATAGTTGGTTGTGCGGAATTATTGTATCTGATGTATTTTGTGTACGTATTTTATAAATGTGATATTTACCTATAAAAAAAACAATTGTAATTTTTTTCATAAATATTCTTTTAAAATTAATAGAAAGTCATTAGTAATAATAAACAATCACAATCACTTTATCATATACTATTTATATATTATAATATTAATATTAATCATATATTTATATATACACTTTTAGACAATACATATATATTTTTTAAAATTTTTATATGTTATAAAAGTATTATATATTTTATATTATATTTTATTCTTATAATAATATATATATATATATATATATATATATATATATATATATATATATATGTATTATATTTTATTCTTAATATTTTTTTTCAAAGTAACTACTATTGTTTTGCATATTCTAAATAATACGTAGAAAACTGACTCTCAAAAGAGAAGAAAAACAAGAAAAATATATTTGGATAATAGAAAATCGAAAACTATTTTCGCTACATCAGTACCTCAAAAATCATGGCGATAATAAATTGTGTTGTTTAAAACATTTGTTTATGTATTTTATGTATTATATATATATATATATATATATATATATATATATATATATATATATTATATATAATATATATATATATATATATATATATATATATATATATATATATATATCGCTACATATGTTTTAAACAAACGAGAGCAGTGATATTTTTTGTTTGTTTTTTATTTTTATCTTATTAATTTAATAAACAATATTATTTGTTATGTGAATTTATTAATTCTTTCAAGTAATGGTTTATTAATGTTTATACCCTGA